ATTCTTGGGTTTAATAGGTGGAAAGTGTTAATGGTGAAGAAAAAGTTAAATTTTAATTCCAAATGGGAAGCAATTTGTCAAATTTATATAAGATTAAAATATTAGGGATTAAAATGAAATCTATTATATTTTAGAATGACTTGTTAGACAATTTTTTATCTTGAGGGTATTTTAGGAACTTTAAAACTTTAAAATGGTCAAAGGCCAATCTTGAATTATGGCTTCAATTTTAGGCTATTTCTATGTATTTCCCCCCTTCTACATGGGTCGATATCAAAACTTCAAATTTACCCACACATGTACAAGAACTGGATAGGCAGCCTAAATTAATGGATGAGCATACCAAGTCTCACTCGACTCAAGTTAAAATGTATTTTTTTGTTAACCAATCCTTGTCAAGCTCATTTTAAATTGAATTAGGTCATCTATGGAATGATTTTTACTTTTGCTTCTACCTTACCTAGAAGAGGTTCCATATACCAGCTTCTGCTAAAACTCTTCTAACTACATAAAGCACTTTCAGAAAATTGGCTAAACATATTCGAAGTCTCAAAAGAAACTTTCAACATCTTCAACGGTATGGTTTAAAGCTGCTAGAGAGCAATTACAGCCCCGCTACACCATTTTTTTAAAAACTTCCAAGACAATTAATTGTGAGGAATAACGAAAACCTTGTCAAAAAGTAAAGAAAACAGACAAATCGACAAAAAAGTTACATTGATACGAGAAAGCAAATTACTGAATGATGTACAAGTGTTACCTACTGCATGCTAAAAACATATTTGGTATATAATTTTAGACAGGATTAAACATCGCATAGTGCAATTATCAGTGTTTTAAGCATAAAGATGCCAGTGTTGATAGTTTAACGGGTGGATTAGTACTTCAACTGGTGAGTCACGGTTGAACTACAAATTTATACAAAGTCTGGGTTGCACGCAAGAATATGCTGTGAGAAGATATAGTTTCTTTTGCTCATTGAAGGAGAACAAAGTTGAGAAAGTCTGTCCACAAAAATTTATATTGCCAATTCCGTAGTGTTAGATTCTAAACTGATGGTATCAAAAACATAACAATCTAGACGAATATTCATGTTCAGACCCAAAAGAAAGGACAGACCATTCAGTCCCAGGCCTTCAAGTCAAGCGTGCACTACACTGAGACAAGTGACATAATCCCTTTCTTAAATCCGTGACGCTGCAAAGATTGCTCTATAACAAAAGAAGTCTCATGTATAACGTTCAATAAGAAAATCAAAACAATCCATCGCCACAGTTCATTCTCGGGAGGGCAACAGGGACCTTCTTCGTAGGTACATAATGAGACCTCGTAAGAAACGAACACTACAAGGGACCAAAGCACCAACTTCAAGCTAAAAATTTGTGACGTTAACAATGTCACTAACGATGAATAAGACAGGTAGCCAACAAGGAAAATATACTGGAATAAGATTAACCAGCTGGTAAATAAAAGGGGATTTATCAAGAAATGACAAGGCGAAACTTGTATTTTACTAAATGGGGTGGATGGTTAGTGGAGTGGGAATTCGCAATTTTAGTATCAAAAAGCATGACAATACACCAATAACTTGTTTAAATAAAGAGCACATTAGAAGACAGCAAAGGAAAGAAAGTAACTTTACAACTACTACTTCACTATGAACCTCTCAAAGTTTCCCAACCTAAATAGCCAACAAAATGCAGCATTGAGTATGCAAACTAAAACTTCTCAAATTAGAATTGTATCATAAATCATGAATTGTATATATTAGCTTATAGGTCAAGGAACAACACCTCAAGTTGAGAGCCCAACCAAAGATTGGATGAAGATTCTGTGATTCTAAAGTTCAAATAGCACTTCACAAGAACCAAACAACAGAATGAACAAAAAGTTGAGAGGATTCTTCTACAAACAATCTAACTAGATTGATCAGAAAAAGACCTGATCATAGGTAGCTTTATGAGTCTTTGTAGCATTTTGCCAGATCTCAACAGCAGGCACCACAACAAGGCAAGCATAAGTGCAAATATCCGACCTCCAATAAGTCCAATGAGAACAATCAGACACAGTACTAAATAACTCGAATCCTGTCCACCTTCTGTTCTCGCCACTTCCCCAGCGAGAGTTTCAGAAGCACATTTGTCATCAACAAAATCTTTCCGTCCATCCCTTCCGCTTGAGAGGGACGACAATTTGGAAGCAATTTCTGATTCAATTGTGTACTTACATTTGTGTGTGTTTTGTTCTTCATATATGGTAATGTGATCTTCTCTAATAGGATTAACTTCATAACTTTCAGAGTTATGGTCCTTTCTTCTCCATAGTTTCTTTGCAACAAACTTCTTGATCTTCGATTTCATCTTAGCTCTACGCGACTTCCTCTCCTTCAATTCCAACCTTTCACTTACAGACTCTTCCTTTTCCATGATCAGTTTCTTCAATTCCAATTCTATACGTCCCAATCTCCCATCATTGCTAGAATCCTCTGTCATCTCCTTCTCACACTGAATTTCCTCTGCAATGGCAATCCATAAACGCTTAGGTTCCACATTTTGAGTTTCTCGAATTGGACTATTCGACCCACAATCCTTCTTCAAACCCGAGCAACCGGGCTTAAAAGACTCGTCTAGCAACACATCATAACTCAAAACATTAGCATTCTTCCTATCTGGGAAAAACCTCCAAAAGTTTTGTACCGTCAATCTTAACCATTCTTGTGCTTCAGAACATGGCTTCAGCAATCCACATTTCCCCAAACACTCGAGGAAAAACAAGAAAAATGCCAAAATTGTGATCCCCATCGCTAATTTCTCCGTCCCCATCGCCAAAGCCACGGCCGTAAAGATCATCACAACCGCCACAAAAACCCGACTAGCATCCACACCCCTATTAACACCACTTCCCCTCTCATCACCCATGCCACCAAAATCACCATCACCACCATCCACAACATCAATTTCGTCTAGATCCCTCGACTGCAGATGTAAAGGCAAAGGCGAGGGACTATGATAGGGCGAAGGACAATGCAAAGAGGGGCATGAAGTCGGCAAGTATCCACTCATCACCGAATCATTAGAAGTGGGTATAGCCGGGTTCTTAACTCTCTTTTTCTTGGATGGGTTTTTCAGTTTTTCGCGATTCTTGATGAAAAGATCAATGAGAGAAGTCGGGAATCCAGTCTCTACCACAAGAGAAGAGTCCCCACGCCTTTTCTGGGAGTTGTGCAAATGATCATTTACCAATCGGGAAATTCTGGTGCTCCTCATCTTCTTCCGTGGTAATGGCATGGTGGAGAAGGACAGATGATGAATCATCCAAGATTTCAGATAAATTAACACCAAAATCTGAAAATGGGTTCAATTGATTTAAAATTCTTAGCTATTGCATCACATAACTAAAATGAGTAGGAGAAATCAGTTCAAGAATTTGAAAAGTTAGTCCAAGAGGTCATTTTTGTGGGCTTTTCGCTAAACGATTTGTTGGGAAGTTCAAGAAATCAGGTGAAGGGCCTCAAGAATTTTATTTATTTATTGGAAAAAATATGAAGGGGCGTGGATTTTCACCATCTGCAGGTCATTATATACGGTGGATTTGATTCATTTTAGTTTTCACCATTGTGTGAATGGAGGACGGTGGGAAAACGAAACTCTTGGAAGTAAAAAAAAAAATGTGAGAGAGAGAGAGAGATGGGCGCTTCACGCTTGTGACAGATGGTTTATTTGATCATCAACCGAGCAGTGAGGTGTGCTTCAAACAAGTTTTATTACCGCTGTTTGTTGGGTACTAACATGCGAAAATAATGTACTGTCGAAATAGGAATGACAAAACGTGCTGTCCCATTCTCAATACTATGTATGTCTCCTGCCTCATCTAGGATTTAGGGAAAATGGAATATGTCAGTCTGTTCAGATTCTTATTATTTTATTTATATTTTAAATGAATTCTCAATTAAAAATGAGTTATTCTTCTTGTACATTTGAGGCTACATAAGAGTATCCATAATAGATACCCGGCGCATAGCTCTTGATGTCTTGGAGAGGAAGAGAACCTTGCAAGTTAAATATCCAACTAATATAAGTACTCTCAAACGCCCAGTACCTTTTACGACACGGATAAAGGTTGTACAACCAAACACCCTGTCAAAGTTGTACCTCATATTTAATTTCAATTTTAGTTTCCTTTCATCCATCGGACAGCCCAAGAAAATGCATTTTACTGCTTTTGTGGCTAATTTTCCCTTTGTTGTACAACCAAACACCCTAAGATTAACAAGTATATGGGACTTTGTTTAAAGGACTTCTATTAATCAAGTATATGGTCGTGCTTGCTGTTTCATCCAAAACCGTTTAGACAATCCCAAGCTCAACAATAGAATGGTACAATTCATCCTCTCGGTTCATTGTGCCTAGGGGTGAACTCGGCATTTTGGTGTAAAATAAAATTAATTTTTTAGTAAATTTTAATAAAATTCGATGAATCACGTGGTTAAAAAGTTACCAATCTTATGAAATATATTATTAAAACTAATTGTTAATTTTGATTTGAAATTTTAATTTATTTTAAAATAGGGGCATTGTACTTTATAAATTTACTTTTAAAAATTGTGTTGGGAAAAACACGTAATCCTTGAAAATAGAGCTTTAAATGCCAAAAATAAAGGTTACGGCCAATTTGTTATAATGCCCATAGATCGATGACTTCGGTTGCGATTTCACTGAAATATTTGTTATTTTAAAATATAAATATGGTAAACCTAGGGTAACTAAATTATTTCATTATATTAATTTATATTTCTGTACATCGTAAAAATGATTAAAGTTAAATTGGGAAAACTCCAAAACCAACCAAATATGAATTATGAAGAAACCATGAAGACTCATTCCCACGGAACGAGGAGTTCAACCAATTTAACAAAAAGATACTTTAATGGTAATAAATAATTATTATTTTTTGTTCGAGCACGTGAATATTAAAAAAGGCATTACTGGATTTTATTTCAATATTCACCACTTAACATGCGTACGATTGGACATGATCTTAAGTAAGGTGAGTAGTTCATTAGCTCGATTCATCCCACAAACAAGTTAAGTTGGCTCGATTCTTGTTCGAAACGAGCAGCAAGCACGGACCAAACAACAAAAATTTCGTATGAATCACTTGTAGGTTCACACTAGTTGGCTCGCCTAGTAGTCAGTCTGCATGATTACTTTTTACAACCATGCAGACTGCATTTTATGGCACAACGTCGATCAAATCAAGAGTTCGTAGATGCCCAATTCAATTTTAAATTTTGATTTTTT